TTGAGCACAACGGTGAGTGACCTTTCCCCAGGGCTCAGGGAGACAGGTTCCAGCCAGAGAATGAATGCCTTGTGTCTGTAATGAAGAGAAAGTGGGAGTCTGGCGCCCCTCTGGGCCCCTCTTGGTCCTGCTTGATCAGATCTTTCCTTGGCCTTATCCCTGGGAAGGTTGATCAGAGGCTTTTTTCCAAAACCCTGGCACTTTTAATTAAGTAAAACACTTCCCTTTTATTCTGCTATCTCAAGCCGTTTCACTCCTGGCTCCTCTGCCCAGAAAAACCATTCTGATTGAATGAATATTTGGGGGGATTAAGTGTCCCTGCTAGAGACCTGGGCAGTGAACATGGCCATCAATGTAAAAATGTAAACAGAGACATCAACATAGCAAATGCAGACAAGAATGATGTCAACAAATGTTCTTTATTCTCTATGAAACCAAATAATCATTATATTGATTAGCTGGGTTTCCTCACTTTGGTTTTATGGGGATCCCCTGGAACAACCACAGGATCTTTTTATAGATATTACCCTTATCTGATCTGGACTTAAAAACTAGAGTGGAAAAAAAACGTGCTGTCTATTTTGAATCGACACTCACTCCTTTGGTTTCAGAATCCAGATAGGGTCACCCTAAAGTGTAGAAAAAGGGAGTGAAACTGAATGTTTCTGTTTGGTGTAACTGACCCATTACACCAAAAAGACAAAACAGACCAAACACATAAATAGGCATGGAAGCCTCACCCTGCAGGGCAGCCACATGCAGGGCTGGTAAAGCATTCCTCACAGGCACAGCCCGGAGCCCTTCACCTGCCGTCACCTCCCTTAATCCTCAGGAACACCTTGAAGTTTGCATTCATTATCCACATTCTGAGATGAGAAAATGGAGGCTAAGAAAGATCATGAACATTGCCCAAGATCTCTAATAGGTAGCTGAGTTGAATGCAAACCCAGATGTCCCTTGTTGGCACCACTTGTGACACAGGACATGGGACATGGTGAACACTATGGAACTACCAGCAGTAAGACTGAGATCAGGTTGACTTGGCCCTCATGTCCTTAAATAAGAGGAGCTCCCTGCACCCCCCCACCACCAGAATGCAATGAGGCACATTTGACAGAAACAAAGGGAAGCACTGTTTCATGCAGTAGGTCCTGTGCTCTCCGCCCCCTGACCCTGGAGACTTCAAAGTGGTTCAGAAACAGCCTGGAGAGTGTTTATGAATTGCAGCTACATCTGACTTTGAGGGTTTCCATCTGTTGTGGTGCATTCGAATGAAGAATCACATGAATGGAGCYGAGCTCCAAGGCTACCATGGTGTTCATTATTTACAGAAACACCTGGTCCGTCTTTCTGTTATTATTAATGGCTTTGTTTTCTGCATTTCAGGTTACTGCCACAGCAAAACAGAAAACCTTTTGTAGCAACATCAAGGACATAAAAGTTTCATTTGAAAATTTCTGATTAACTTTCAATCTTCACCTCTATTTATCTTAGGAGTTTAGTTTGTCTCCACTCCCGCCCCCCCCCCCGCCCCTCTAATCCCCTTGCCTTCCCTTGGTGAACATAAAACATCATTGCACATCAAAATCCACGTAGGAATGAGTGAATCTGCATCACTGTGGATCTTATGGAAGTTTCCCGAGACTTGGAATTCCAAACTTTGATTTATTAAAATATAGCTATCAGCTTCCTATGATTTGAGTTTTCTTTGTATTCACAGATTTCAGGTGGGGGTGCACACTCTTCTATACCAACAGGGCATTCTCCCTTTGCGCTCTCTGCGGGACCTTTGACTAATTCTAGCATCTAACCTCCATTATTAAAGACCGCAGCTTCTCCCACTTCCTGAAAAGGGGGTTTCCTCATTAACCCAGGAAGGCCTTAACTACCATCCTGGCCAAGGCACTGAGGCCCAAAGAGGAAGTGAGTGTGGCCAGACCAGGCCAGCAAGCTCAGGCAGTGYTGGGCCTCTGAGACTGGCCAACCAGCTGGATTTGGGAGGCTTGGATGCATGGATGGGGTGAGTTCCAGGAAACAGCTCCACTCTCCATTGCCTCTGGCAGGTGATTCGCTTGTTTCATGTGTGGTCAACACAAGGAAGGAGGCAGTCTCAGGGTTTTCAGAAGGTGGGGAGAGAGAGGATATGGAAGATGGGCTCTGAAAGCCAGGTCAGTAGGAAAGTTCACAATGTCCCCCACCTGAAGTGTGCATGGAGGGCGAGGTGGGGGCAGAAGCAGTCAGGACTGGGGCAGAACACTAGTGTCCTACACTGTTAGCAGCACTTGAGTTTGCATACAAACCCACTTGCCTCAGTTTCCCACAGTTTCCCACAGGTCTCAGTTTCTCATCTTCAAAAAACAGCCAGTCTTTTGTGCTAGATAGTCTTGGTTTTAAGTTAAACTCCAACTTAGATTTTTAGCTGTATGTTTGGGGGCTGGTTACCTGGCTTCTCTGAGCCTACATCTCTCTTGAAATATAGGGAAGCAGATTCTGCCTGATGGGACTCAGTGGATTCAATGAGGCGATGTCTGTTAGAGCTCTGAGGGGCTGTGCAGATCCTGGCCATGCCAGGCTGCATGTGTGAAATGCATCAGAAGGTGGGGGGTTGGTGCTGGCATTTTCTAGGGACTAGGGAGGCTTCTGTGTCTCCCACCTCCATTTGCCTTATTTGCCACCAAAGATAGGAGAGACTGTGGACCACACAAGGGAAARCTCTGCTTTTCATTCTCAGGGAACAGCAGGCTGTCACAGCCTGGGGTCTCAGCCTCAGTTTGGCAGCCCCAGAAATCTATAAGATATCCAGGTATTCCTTCCCAAAAGAGCTTAAAATTACCAGGTCTACTAATTAAATCTTTTGTTTTTTTTTTTTTTTTAATGTGGTGATGGGGATTGAACCCCGGGCCACATGCATGCTAAGMAAGTGCTTTACCACTGAGCTATCTCCCCAGTCCCCAAGTCTACTAACTAAAGATGGGCAAAGACTCCTTGTCCGTTTGTCCATGAGCTTAAGGTCGCCATAAATCTTCACGAGCTACTCCAGAAACTCCATGAGTGATGGCAACAACCCTGGGTTTGATTGGCCTTGGAACAAAGCTTTACTGAGCATCTATCTTCTCGGTAGTGGCCCTGTGTCCACCCAGCCATTGGCCCAGCCCCCAAGGGCCTGTTTGTTGATGGGCTGGCTTTGACTCTGATCTCTCCCCTTTCCCTATTTTCTCTCAGGGTGTTTCATAAAACTGTAGGTCTCCAAACACCATCTGCATCTCCCAACATCACTGTACCTCCAAGCCCCAGCCCCACAGCTCTATATACACTGCCTATTGTTTTTGGATGCCCCCAGGTTTCAATTTTCTTTTAAATTTTTTTTGTAGTTGTAGATGAACAGAATGCCTTTATTTATTTTATTTATTTCTTAYGTGGTGCTGAGGAYCAAACCCAGTACCTCACACATGCTAGGCAAGTGCTCTGCCACTGAGCTACAGCCCCAGCCCCCAGGTTTCAAATTTATAAAATTTGGGCTACCACTGAAACGTGGCTCTCTCACCCTGTTTTTCTCCCAGTCTTCTCCATTGATGCCTGCTCCACTATTCAACCAGTTTTAGCTAAAAATCTAGGAGTTGCCCTGGAATCCTCTCTTTCTCTCATATTCTACATGCTTTCCATCAATAAATTGTCTTTGTGCCACCCTCTCTCTATCCAAGATCAGTTCTCATAATCCATCAGGAATGACACCCACCTCCAGATCCCCAGCAGCTGCCTAATTGCTCTCCATTTTCATTCCTGCTCCTCAAAGTCAGACCCTTGCATAGCAACCAGAACGATATTTACACTCATTCATCAGCTCATGTCAGTCTCCCTTTGCAAACCCCAGTGGCACCTACTGAACACTGACTCAGCTCCTTAGGGTGGTCTCTCAAACCCTCCCTGACCTAGACCTGGMCCCTCTGGCATCCATTGATGGGCTCCAGCAGGGCACCCTTCCATCCCAACATCAAGGACAGTGTCTGGTACAGAGGAGGCTCAGTCAACAGTTCTTTGCTTGACTCAGTCCTCTCTTCTTCCTGTCCCACAAGTCAGCCTCTTTGTACCGACATCTGTCTCTTCTGCCTGAAAAGCCCCTTCCCCTGGAGCCACGTGGMACACTCTTTCTTGCCAGTCACCTTTCCCCACCACATCTAAGTGGCCACCACTCCCACAGCACCCTGTCCTGTCTTCCCCGGGTGCTGTTCACTCTGGGATACTATATTTATTCACTTCTGTTTAGCATTTGACCTCCGGAATGGAAGAAGCTCTCTGAGAGCAGAGGCCAGGGCCATCTGGTTCATCACTGAATTCCCAGCTCAAGAGCACTGTCCAGCCATAGTAGTGCTWAAGAGGCCTCCGGTGGGTGGATCAATGAGGGGACTCACTCCAGATCTCAGTGCCCTTCTGAAGCCAACCCATCTTCTCTCTGATTCCATGACACTGCTTCTCCTCAAGGGGTCCATAGCGTTTTTAATACATGAAAAATAATAATCACCTTTAATTATTCCTTGGAAATTCCTCCATATCAAATACCAAATACCAAACACCAAATTCAGGGTTGATATGAATGAAAGACCCTGAGGCCTTTCCTAAGGAGCCCAAGTTGGGTATCCAGAGTGGCCCTGACCCTTTAAAGGAGAATCTGAGTCTTCAGTCAGTTCCAAGACTCACTTTAGAAACCATGAGGTGTGACCTTATATGCAGGAGATGTAATTGCTGAGCAGGTATAAATAAAAATTTATTAATTTCCATCATATTACAAACACACTGAAAAAGTTCATATTTCAAAGGAACCCATCGTGAGTCCTCTTATAAAGGAAAAGTATGTTTACATGGAATGATCGTCCCTTAATTTGCTGTTGCTGCAGATGTATGTTTGCATAGGYTGTTTCCGTAAAGCAGGGTGCACTGGTGGATGATCAAAGCACACCGTGGCTCACCACAGGGAGAGACTTCATGTGTCAAGAAAAAACCAATTAGCTGGAAATAACAGACAARTCATTTCTTCTGACAGATGTGTCTGTAAAAATGGCTCCTTTTTCTGGGAGGGAGAAGCAGCAAAAAAATTTCCGCCACTCRTTCCTAAACAGTGACATGTTGTAGAGAATGGGGTTCAGGGCAGAATTGGCAAATGTGAAGGCCACCACCCAGAAGAAGAGGGACGGCCAGATGACCAGGTCTTGCTGGAAGTTCTGGATCAAGATGAGGAGGATRGTGATGATGATGGGGCTCCACATGATGAAGAAGGACACCATGAGCAGGAAGAGGGTGCGGAAGAGCCGGAAGTCCTGCTGCGACACTCGGATCTGGTGGCTCTCCGAGTACGCCAGGCTCATGGTGAGCCTCTTTCGYGATGCCTTTGTGATCTGCAGGAAACCCAAACAGAAACAGAGCCACAATTTACCATGGATGTCAGAGATTTTTGGAGTTAGGAGCCCAGAAGCTGGAAAGTGCCATCCCGCTGCATTGGGGTATCTGTCTTTGGAACTCTGTGTGGAAGGAGCTGCCTCCTCTGCAGCAGGCCTGCTGCCCACACCGAGGACGCACTGGAGAAATGGACACCTGGCTTGCTGCCCCAGGAATAAGGCAGAAAATCACCCACGATATAAAGAGAATGGATGAGGGGAAGTGAAGAGCCTGACTCGGGTGGTTTAGARGAGCCAGGTGCTCAGAAACACACCTTAGCTGTGACTGTGGCTTTTTAAAAGGTAAATAATTGTGCACAAGCAATACATGCCCAAGGCACAAACTCAAACTACAAACACTGAAGGGGAGCAAATGAAAAATACCCATCTCTTTTCTAGCCTCTGTACCCTCAATTTCCATTGCCCAGGGGTGACCAGAGTAGGTAGTCTCCTGCATGACCTTCTGGAAGGTCTACATACCAGCTCTACATGCCTTCCCAGGGATGGAATGTATGAGACCCTATCTCCAAAAAAAAAAAAAAAAGTGGTTTCTGGTCTTGCCTAAAGGCCTGAGCTGGGGCCTTTGAAAGGTAAATGAGTTTGGAGGCTGTTCATTTGCTTGGGCAGCGGCTGCCAGGGTCAGCCCCAAAATAAAACCAAGTCTGGGAAGAGTCACCAACACCTATGGGGTGGGTGCTGCYTGGGAATGATCCTTTCATCAGCAGGACCTGTGGGCACCCCCACAGCCACGTGGACATCAGAGTCAATTACCAACAGAAGGGGACAAACTCCTCACATGGGCAATTGTGAGTTCCTTGTCTTTAAGGGCAGTCAGGGGCACGGGCAGGACAGCCTGTCCTTCTCCATTCCATTCCTAGCCCTCGCACAAACCCATCCCCCACTGCAGGCACCTGAAGTATTGGAATGACTATGAGATCCATGTTTTTAAATAAGTAGGCACAGGGATAGGAATGGGGAAGACAGCAGAATGAATCAGACCTGACTTTCCTATGTTCATATACACAACCAGTGAAACTCCACATCATGTACAACCACAAGAATGGGAAGTTATACTCCATGTATGTACAACATGAAAAATACACTCTACTGTCATGTATAACTAAAAAAAAGAACAAATTTTAAAAAGCTTTTAATTTAAAAAAAATAAGTAAAATAAACAGGCACAATCAAAAAGCAATTGGAAAGTTATGGAATCAGATGTGTCTTTAAATGTGTCTGTCCCCAGCAAGAAGGAGAAGCTTGTCAGAGCATTTATGGTGACATTTGTTGAAAAATTACAGCCATTTGATAATGCATACCCCACTGAGGGGTGGGGATCAGGAGAATAAGCACCCTCAGGTACATCTTTCCACATCTATATGAGAGTATCCATGGAATAAATTCCTCCCAGTGGGATTTCTGGGACCTCGTAACATTTTGCACTGATGAGCAAGGCCGGCATGACAGCAGAGGGACTGTGGGTGATGAAGGGGACCCTGGTTGCGAGGGCTCCTGCAGGCATCATGCCCTGGATCTCCTGTCCAGTCTGTTCAGCTAGAGGGTCTTCCTTCAGCAACAGAGAGGCTTTAATTTGGCAGCAGGATCCTTGGACACAAGAATGGCCCATCAACTGATGTAGACTGAATAAATCAGAGTAAAGCCCTACGTGCACCCCCATCCCACTGCCCCACCTCAAAACACTGTGTCTGAACCACATGAAAGCTTCGTGACATCTTGGAACCACAGAGCTGGAGAGGCACTCAGTGTGGTCTCCTTTATTTTAATATAGATTCTTCTTAAGAAGGTCTGGGTCTGGGGGCTGGGGATGTGGCTCAAGCAGTAGCGCGCTCACCTGGCATGCGTGGGGCGCTGGGTTCGATCCTCAGCACCACATACAGATGAAATAAAGATGTTGTGTCCACCGAAAACTAAAAAAATAATTTTTTTTAAAAAAAAAAGAAGGTCTGGGTCCAGCTGAGATTCTGCATTTCCAGCAAGCTCTTGCGGAACAGCAGCCACCCATGCTTCCCATCCAAAGACCCTGCTTTGAGTAGCCAGGGCCTCCGTCGCCCCTTCAATGCACAGGTTAGAAAACAGCTCCCTAAGAGATAGTTTACCCAAGCTGCTTTCAAAGCAGGAGTCTTGCAAGTGTTCACTTCAGAGAGCAATAAGGGTTGAGTCTGTGAGAGAGCAGGGGCTGCCATTTAAGCCCTGCTCCTTGGCACAGGGTGGTGGGTGGCTGGGTGAGTGACCACTGGGGTGGCTGGAAAGTGTCCAGTACTCAGGCTCTGGATGTCCAGGGGAGAAGGAGTGTTTAATCTCTCTTGTGCATAATTCCAAATATCATCTGGGCACAGCCAGAAGGGAGAAGGTCTGGCTGTTCCCTGTGACTTACTCAGGTTCCATAATGCCAGCGAGAGGSGTAGGGTAGGGCTAGTGATGGTAGGATGGGGCCTGGCTGTGAACAGCCAGCCTGGGCTGGAACAGATGCTGATTTTTTGAGCCTGAAATGCCAGCCTATGACCTCTGCCCCAGAGAAGAGAACCAATGAGGACCATCCTGACCACAATAGCAGTCCTTGCTAAATTCCACCTGCTTGGGCCGGCCTTTGTCCTGCCTTTCCTACAGGAAGAGGCTTCTGGCCACACAGCGATGCTTACATCATCTGGAAACTGGCCACACTGTGGGCTCTGTGCTGGACCCCTGGGTCCATTCCCCTACGATTCCTGAATCTCAAGAGAAGAAGTAATTAGAAGGTTATTAGCCACCTTCTCAATTTGGGCAAGTTTAATTCCAAGATCAGCATGGCTTAAACTGTTCTCCCTAGAATACTTCTAATGGTCCAATTAAAGGAGAGCTGTTTAATTGTTTCGTGATTCTCTGTGGTTGCTTGCTGGCCCAGCGTGGCAGTTCAGGGCACCTGTTGGTGATGGGGGACGAGAGCAGCAGGTGCAAGGTGGACAGACCTCTGCCCTCCGGAAGCTCCCGACAACCAGGACAACAGGAATCAGCTTTTCCATCCACTGTCACCTCTAATCCTCACAGCTCCTCTTTGCATTCTGTGCCATTGTTATTCCTGCTTCACAGATGAGCAAATTCATTCTCRGGAAATTTAAGTTACTTGTTGAAGGTTACTCCACAGATAATAAATGGTGACAGCTCCCATCTGTGAAAATCCAGCTCAGTGGAGTTAACGATTAGCTACATCATAAAAGGCTCAGGAGGGGTTGGATAGCCAGCCCTCCCCTCCACGCCCCTGCTCTGCAGGTGGAGTCACTCAGCAGAGGGAACCCACCGACTCGCACTCCAGTGCTGCAAGTCCTATCGGCACCTCCAYGTCTGGAAGTCACTGTGTAGAGTCAAAGTTAGACCGAGCATCCAGGTGCAAGATGGGTGATCTGAGGGCCAACAGGTCTGGAAGTGGGAAAGCTGGGCAGGYGGCACCTCTAAATCGGGTGTCCCTGGTGAGTGCTCAAGGGCTGATTCCAACAGCAGTGTCATCCCTCCTGCTGCCCACCTTAGCCTGCCAAGAACAGTGTGCATCCAGAGACTCTGGTACAGTGTCTCATAAATATTTCTTGAATCAACAAGGTTGGTGGGAGTTCACTTTTACTGAGCACCTACTATGTGCCAGGTCCTTACCCATCACGTGGTTTGCCTCTCTAACCTCTCCCAGCATTCTGTGAGGTAGGTACTTGCTGATTCCCATTTTGCAGATGAGGAAGCTGAAGCTCAAAGAGGTTGGTGAACGCCCAGCCAAAAAGTGCAGAGTTGAACTTCAAACTTGGTTGTCTGGCTCCAGTCCGAGCTCTTGATCTTAAACTAGTTCCTTCCCACTCTCTACTTCCCATCAATGGAAATTCTTCTGCCCAGACTTTAATTCCAAGCTCTAATGCTAGAAACTCCTAGAAGCCTTGTTGGCTCACCTCCCGCTGCACCCTGCAGCGTGTTTCAGGTACTCTCAGCACCTGCCACAGGAACCCTGTGGTAGACACATGAGCATCTTTCTTACCTCCACCCTCACCAGACATGGGCTCCCCAGAGGTTAAGACCTTAGACAGGGCTCTCTGTTCCCTCTGGGGCCCAGGGCTCTGGCTGATGCCTGACGATGACTGTGATGGTCAAATTGGGCTGACTCACTCTGGAGCCAGGTGCATTAGCTCGGGTCTTTGGTTAGAACTGGTAGATGCTGTTCCCTCACAGTCTCCACAGCTTGCAGAGTCAGGGGCTTCATAGTCAAATGTATAGCACAGRAAGGATCCCTGCACCTTCCTGTGCTAGGTTTCCAGGCTAAGTCAACATTTATCTAGCATTTCAGTCTCTGGCATTGGGTGGACGCTTGATGAGCTTCTACATTAAACTAAACACTCAATTAACTCCTGAGAATTAACTCTAATCCTCAAAACAAGCCTCTGCATAGGTTCCAGGGTTACCTCCTCAGGTGGAGGCTCTGAGAGATGAAGTGACCTACCCAAGCCTCATGGTCAAGAGGTGGGGTGTAGCCCATGCAGAGATGCTCCCAATAAAGTGGCTCCCACCACTGGGCCCATGATAAGAGGCAAATGTTTATTTGCCTTCAGACATTCTGATTCTGTGGGGCTGAGGGGACCCCGAGATCTGCATTTTTCCTAAACTCCTTTTTTTTTTTTTTGGTACCAGGGATTAAACTCAGGGGCACTTGGCCACTAAGCCACATCCCCAGCCCTATTTTGTATTTTATTGAGAGACAGGGTCTCACTGAGTTGCTTAGCATCTTGCTTTTGATGAGGCTGGCTTTGAACTCAAGATCCTCCTGCTTCAGCCTCCTGGGCTGCTGGGATTCCAAGTGTGTGCCACTATGCCAGACTAAGAGAGTCCCTTTTAAAACTGTCTTTTTGAGTCTCCCTGCCTTTACACCCACATGAGCTTCGGAAGACTATGAGGGAACTTTCTCTCCATCTCATGCCCCTTTGTCACACATTGCCACCAGACCAAGGTTGCTGCCCAGGTGGTTGCAGGTGGAGGAGATTCCTGCTGACAGAGGTTGACCCTGGGGGGTGGGGTCTCCTTTGGAGGCTGCCTGGTCAATAAACAGAATCCTCAGAGGAGAGACTCTGTCTTTCCAGTAGGTCTACCTCCCTTTCCATAGCCAGCACACGGTCCCCAAAGCTGGGGAACAAAGACCAGGTGTGGAGGAAGGGCTTCATGTTCACTATCTGAAACCTTCATGTTCACCTGAAATACATTGTTCCTYGGTGAAACTGAGATAGGCTGAGGGTTTTCAAACTGCAAGCAAAAGAGTCATTGGTTCTATCAACAAATGTTTATTGAGCACCTACTAAGTGGCTGGGCTACAGGGGCTGGATGTGGCACAGGTCCATTCCAGTGTAATGTGGGTAATGCTTGGGGGAAGTGGGGAGGGACAATAAAGAAACACAGTTCCAAAGGGTAGCACGGCCATGGTTGCTGGGAGATGATGTAAACCAAGCCCCAAACAGCTGGTGTTCACAGCCTGATCGAAGGTACTTAGGAGTTGCTGGGAGACTATTCCCTTGGGAAAACTGTCAATTGGAAAAAGCCACTAAAAATGTATGGCATGTTTGAGTCACAAGGAAAGAGGAAGCAGAGAAGGCTGACAGCAAATATGGCCACTGCCCCACTACAACAAACAGCTCTTGAAGGGTGATTGACAATCTTGAAGGATGACTGACAGGGGGAGACCCAAGGAGAAGCCCACCTGGGCAAGGTTTCCCAAAGAGGGTTCTACGGAGCACCGATCCAAAGAGAAGCTCCGTGGGAAAATGGGGTTCTGTGGTCAGGTTTAGCAATGCTGCCTGGTCTATTCCTGTGCCGAAGAGCCCCTGCCTGCCCGAAGCATTACAGCAAAGAATCCCACGGAACTCTGATGATCCCAGTATTTCCCATACTCATAGACTGTGACTCGTTCTAAAATTTTCCATCCCATGGAGCTCCAGAGAGCACTGAGAGGCTCTGCTTCAGAGCAGTAAGAGATCAGGGTGACTTCTAAGCCCAGAGATGGGACCTGAGTGAGAGGCAAGAAGACAGGTGAAGGGATATGGCTAATGGACCCTGTTGTTCAAATGAATTTGACAGGTGCTCTTCACACACACACACACACACACACACACACACAAAAAAAATCTTGGGCAGAAAAGCAGATCCAGCATCTCTGCATTGTGTCTATTTTCAAGTAAACTAGGAAATCCCATCCACACACAGCAGCTACCTAGTGGCAGTTTGCCTGCTTCCAAGTTACCACCCTGGCAAACTCAACAGGCACCAAGTGAGGACAGATGTCACAGTCCTATGGGGAACAGGCAACAGTCAGTTTTGCTAGTGAGGTAGGAAGATTTTTCAAAAGTCTTATATTTACAGTAACATTTATTTTTGTTATTTATTTATTTTTTTTTTTGTACCAGGGGTTGAACCCAGGATTGCTTAACTGCTGAGCCACACCCCAGCTCTTTTTGTATTCTATTTAGAGACAGGGTCTCACTGAGTTGCTTAGGGCCTCACAGAGTTGCTTAGGGCCTCACAGAGTTGCTTAGGGCCTCGCTAAGTTGCTGAGGTTGGCTTTGAATTCATCATCCTCCTGACCCAGCCTCCTGAGCTACTGGGATCATAGGTGTGCTCCACTGTGCCCGGCTAATACTGTTATTTTTAAAACATCATATCTGCTCTTTTATTTTATTGTGCTAAACAATCCACTGAGACATGTTTGGCTTCAGTGGAAACTGAGTCCTGAGTTTTAAAAGAATAGTCCAAGGTCGCAAGGTAAATCAAGTTTGGTGAAGAACCCCAGTATGATGATTCTTTGTACTTTCCCTACTGCCCCCAAAGAGCACGCCCTGTAGACCCTTTCAGTGTGATCCAAGGCTTAAGCCTCACTCCTCCATGAGAATTCACTAAGCACCTGCCATGAACAAGCCAGGCTCTGGTCTAGGCACAGGGACGAGAAGCTTGCCTTCCCATGGGTGAGACAGATGACTGATGCACAAATGAATTCACACATCCAGAAGGTGACAAGGGTTGGAAGTGTTTTGAAAAGAGATAAGTCAGGGATCAGAGATTGACAGGGGGTGTTTCTGAAGAAGATCCTTTTGAACAAGGACCTATCTGAAGTGGGAAGCGGACTATCAGCAATTAAAGTAAGAGAGACCCAGGAGAGGAAATGGCAGGTGCAAAGGCCCGAGAAATAAGTGTGTTGGCATGTGTGAGGGTCCCTCCCCAGGCCAGTCTGGACATAACAGAGGGGAGAAGATGAGCTTAGGGGGACAGACAGGGGCCAGATCACATAGGGCTTTTAGGTGAGGGCTTTGGATTTTGCTGCATGTGGGAGGGAAGTGACAGGATCTAAATTATCTCTGACCCATTACTCAATGCACCATTGCACCACTGTGAGTCATGACAGATGCCACCCTGCGGTGTGTGATGGACAGAGGGCTGGCTGTGGCTCTAGATGCAAAGGACTTGGAGAGCAGTGAACTGTTGCTTGGAGGCAGATGGAGAAGAAGAGACCTCTCCCAGTTTCCTGGGTCACCTCCAATTGTTCCAGGTGGGCTTTGGCCTTGGTGTGGGGATCATTCCTCCCTCAGTGGGAAGCTCAGAAGTGTGAGCTCACCAGGGCCCTTCCAATCGCTCAGGGGCTTGGGAGTGGACTCAGAAGAAGAGCCAGATGCTGCCACTCCCTCCCAATCAGCTCTGCTAAGTCTCAGGGATACCATTTCCCAGCACACTGGAGACAAAGCTTGGGAGAACAACCTTGCCTAACAATAACAACAAACACAATTCATTTGTCCCCTGCCGTGGGCAGGCAGACACTAGATGTCCTACCCATGGTACCTCAACAATCCCTCACTGTTGAACTACAATTGCCATTTTGCTGATGAGGGAATTGAGGCTCAGAGAGTGTAAGTAAGCTCAAGTAAGTGTAAGTAAGCTCAAGGTCACACAGCAAGTAAGTGGCAGATTCAAGACTCAAAGCCAGGTTATGAAAATATCCCTTTGAATCTCTGCAACTGTCTTCATGACCCTTTGCTCTCCTCTTTAGTACCCCTCATCCATCCTTTACATTGGTGCAGCAGTCAGCATTTTGCAAAGTGTTATACACTATCTTGGCCTCTACCTTGTGCTCCAGGGTTTCTTGCTTTAAATAACAGCACCTTTGGCTCGTCTCTCCTCTTCCCCTTTTGTTTCAAAGTTCCTTCTAGAGAATGGAACTTGTACACTCTTGACCTACCTCTATTCCTCACCAGCACTTTGCACAGAGTAGACATATGTCTGAGGAACTAAAACTGTTGGGAATCTAGGGCCAGGGTACTTGGGTTTATGAGACTCTCACTTCTGAGCTACGTGCATGACCTTGGGGAAATTACCTCACCTCGCTGTGCCTGGTGTTTCTCATCTGTAATGCTTATTAGGATTAAATGAGGTATTTGTTGATAACACATTAAACACTACATAACTATTTGTTAAGCAAATATAAAACTCTTCCCTCACTTCTTTGCTTTTAACTTAATGAGGGTGGCTAACAATTTTATAATATTAAAATATGCTAGGTCCCCTTGGAAAGCCTGAATCTGCTCATGCACTTGAACAAGGCTCAGTCTAGGGAGTAACTTAGGGGGGCCCGACTTCCACAGGACCAGGGACTAGCAGACCCGGTTGGAGGTTGACCTGGCTTTGGTTTCTGGGCACATAAGAAGGTTACAAAGCCTCAGCCACAAAGAAAGGCTATAAAATTGACCAGACAACAAACAGGTCTTTCCACTTGAATATGTTTATTTAACAGATGACTCCTAAGTAATATGCTATAAAATTAAGATTCAGTGGCTGCATTTCCTCCAAGGGGACTAGGGCACAAATACATGTAGGTGAGGTTTGCAGGGCTGGCCCCTGCCATGCAGAGGGCTGCCTTAAGAGGTGGGGACAGAGGGGGTCCATCTTTTTCACACCCCTGCACATATTCGCTTTGAGGGCAGACATCCCTTCCTGTGTCAATACACATTTGAAATGGACATTCCCAGGTGGCAGGTGACCGGAAGTAAGAGGAGGGGCTTCTGGCAACCTTCTCTTTCGGGATCCGGGAGGTGCTTTTATGAGTGTGTTCAGTCTGTAAGGGGAACACGTAAGCTGGGTGTGCTTTTCTATTGGTATATTATACTTCAATAAAAAGTCTTAAAAAGTGTACATTCTCATCACTGCTGTGTTTGTGGTGGGGAAACGATGGACACAGCCCAAAAGTCCATAAGATAAATTATAGTATGTCGACCTGCTGGGCAGCCATGCAGCCATCATGAGATAAGATACAGGAACTGATATGGAAAGATGTGATATGGTGTTAAGAGAAAAAAGGAAGTTCTGGAGCAGATAGTGTGAGCTCATATCTGAAAAGAACAGCAGCCAGCTATTGGAGATAACCCGCACTTTCAAATACACACAATGTCGATGATTTTTTGTGCAAATTTGTAAGTTTATCAAATACACACAGTGTCAATGATTTTTGTGCAAATTTATAAGAAAAACTAACCTGCAAGGACCTCATTGGGTTGTTAAGAATGGCAATAGGATCGATTTTCAGTTTCTGTGTTAAATACTTCTGTGCCTGTTTTCAATTTGACTTTTTTATGATGAACTTGAATTACTTTAGTGATGAGCAAAACAAAAAACAAGCAAACAACAAGAAACTCCTTCCTCACATGGCGGCAGATCTGGTGAGTGAATCAGAACTAAGGACTGGACTGGTTTGACTTCTACAGTACCTTCTGACCTGGAAGTTCTGAGAATCTACCAGAAACACTGCAATCTGAGTGAAATTCAGTGGCAGCACTGGAAACAAACATACCTGTAAGATTTTGGAGTAACTGATCACAATGACCAGTCCAGGCACCAGGAAGTTCAAAGTAACAAAAGACACATCCCACGAGATCTCTCCAGGGGTGCTGGGCCAAACCAGTGTGCAGATGGGAATTTCCTAGTTACAAAAGGGAAAAGGACAAGGATCACTGCAGTGCTGGCTTCTTCTTTGGCCTTTAGTTCAGCCCCAGTTGGGGGTTACCTGTCACTACACAGTGTGCCACACAACTGGCAGGACAGTACACCCCAGAATCCTTCTCCCTGACCCCCCTCCCCCAAACATACACACAAAGCACTCGCCTCTGGCCCTCGGGATAGCCATAATCATCATCTCTGCTCTCCATTAGAGGCAACTGAGCCTCAGGGTTCCAGGCTGATAAGAACTAGGGGCAGTTCCCCATGTGGATCTTTCCACTCCCCTGGCTGAGATGCAAAGGGCTCTCAGGCTTTCTCTTCCATGCCTACCGTATTTAAAAAAAAAAAAGAGAGAAAATTGCCCTGAGAGCAGAACCGATGTGCTACATACAAACACATGGAAACAGGATGAGGTCTCGGTGCAGTCATGCTTTGAAAGCTGAAGGCAACAGGGTCTATGCCAAGGTACCCAAGTGCATCAAAGCCAGGCTTGGTGGCAGGTGGATCCATAAGTCCCAGCTGATTGGGAGTCTGAGTCAGGACAATTCCTGAGCTTGAGCCAAGAATTTGGAGCCAGTCTGAATAACATAGTGAGACCCTCTTCTCAAAAAAAGAAACACCCACATACATAAACACAAAACAAAACCAAAAAATCAGTGTGTCAAGCTGCATCAAAAAACCTGGCTGCCAAGAGTAGTGGTGCAGGTCTGTAATTCCAGTGACTCAGGAGGCTGAGGGCAGGAAGATCTCAAGTTCAAGGCCAAACTAGGCAACTTATTAAGGAGACCCTGTCTCAAAATAAAATAAATAAATAAATAAATAAGGCTGGGATGTAGCTCAGTGATAGAGTGCTTGCCCAGCATGTGCCAGGCCCTGGATTTGAAACCTGATTCTGCAAAGGAAGGAGTCCGGGAAAGGAGGGCCAGCTACCTCTTACTCCAAGAATGCATCTTGAGCCCAGAATTACAGCCTCTAATCTTGTGTGCCACCTTCACAGAGGAACACACTACAGCCCCAAAGCAAATATCAGCCACAATTCTCAGTTCCAGATGGAAAGCCACTGGAGTGTGACCGTTTGTGACCTTGCTTCCATACTGTGATGTGTTGAATTCAAGTGTTCAACTCTAGCTACAAAACTGCAACAGGCGGGAGGCTCACCCAACAGTTACTACGAGCTGCTGCAACAGTTTCCTCCAACAAAAAAATATGTCAGTGAAAACAGACCAAGGCATTTGTGCCTGTACTTTCCCACCCACAAACTTCCCCAGCCCAGTCCACTACAGGAACAAAGCTATTTGGAAAACAAGTCTCCCTAAACCCTTCTAGACATATAGACCAGATTTTTAAAAGAGTGTGTGCTATGTGAAAAGCCCACATATTAATTTTTTGGTGGACAAGGCATCTGAACCCATGTCCAGGAGACACAATCAACCGAAGCACCATTAATTCAACTATTCACTTGACCAATATTTATCGAATGGTATACCCTAGACAAAAGCAAAGAATTTTTAATATTTGCCAACATGTATTGTGATGGGTTGTTGATCTCAAAATACGGTCCACTGGTCACTCATTTTCCTACTCAATTTTAACAGAAAATAACAACATCTGCTATTTATTGAACATATCCTCTGCATTGGGAATTGCTTTATGTAGATCATCTCATCTAAGGCTTACAACAACCTTATTGAGATGCACATTATTTTTTTGTTCCTATTTCACAGAGGAAGGAACTAATGTTCAGAAACATCCTCTTCCAACAACAGCCTGAAACGCTAAAGGTGGGGTTGTTTTTAATCATAATACTTTTCCCAAAAAGCTATGTAGTTAGAAGGGACATCAAGGAGTCTATCAAGAAAACTATAAAGCAGGACAAGTAGGAAAGAATGTCTTAATCACATTTGCTGTACCTTGAGAAGGGAAGTGTGAGTGTTGTGTCCTATTTCTGCTTTGTTAAGTGGCTTGCAAATGGACTAGGCATTCTGAAAATTTGCTCCTCTACCCTCACCATCCTTTCAAACTCCTTATGGTTGGGGCCAGAAAAGTAGGTCCCAAAACCATGTGCCTGTGTCAAAGTTGTCAGAATCAAAATGGAGTTGCTTGAGCTGACCCTGACCAAAATTAATGAATTAATTAAGCTGGGAGATTGTGAAGAAGGGCATGTGATGCACATATGCCTGATAACAAGAACTGTCGTAAAGATTCTACCAAACTACAACCTTACACAAAAATCCCTTGGAGAGTATTGGTTCAGCAACTGTCTGTCCAACCATGAACGGAGGCCACCCCTTATTTATGGATCCTTGTAGCCAAGGATTGCTGTTTCAAAATAACTTATGTAATCCTCATTTTTGCCTTTAAAAACTTCCCCTGGCTTCAACCTCATCGAACATGCACTTAGTTTGCCACGGTCCCCTATTCATATTTTTCAATTTTCATGCCCAAAGTCACTATCTTTGAAGAAACCTCTCTCCAGCTGTTATTTAGGTCACACCTGCGGGATCCCATTATTGACGTGTATGTGTGAATAAATACCTAGACACCTCTGCTCACGCACGCACAGGCAGAGAGAAGAGACTGGGAGGGTCTCAGAAAAGACTAGAATGGGACTCGTAAGTTATTTTTATTTTTCTGTGTTATCTAAATCATCCACAATGTGTCTATATGTTTTTTATAAGAGAGAAACAAAAGGATAAAAGTTAGTTTTTATGAAAAGAGATGACAGAACATGAAACACACGTCACCGTGAGGGCCGAGCCAACCTAACCAACAGAGACAATATGCTCATCCCAGAAAGCTCCCCAAATTTCAATAAGGAAGGTGCCCTTTCACCTGTTTGATTTGTGGCTTTCACTCCAGGCAGGAAGTGTGATAAGGGAGTAAGATAAGAACTCTGCACAGCACCCCTCACCCCCATCTGAGCTAAGAGGCAGTAGGATGGGTCTTGCCAGGTGACCTTGGGCATGAATTTATGTGCTCTTTGGGGGGCATCATATGGTATTGTTGGTTAATTGCAGTGTCTATGCTCATTTGAAAATAAATAAACAAGGCACCATGCCCACACTCAGAGGTCTGAATTGAATAACTTTAGGACTGTGGAAAAATCCAGACAACAAATGGTTTTCTCCTGCAGTCTGTGATGGATAGAGGAGTTGGGCAGCAAGTCAAATCTGGAAGGTACGGACATAAGTGCTAGTATATTCTGGGGTGTGTTTTTTTTTCCTGCATATTTGATACGTTTCCTGATTTTAAGAAAGAAATATGAAAACCAAAAGTGCTAGGCCTGCCTGCTTACTGATACATGGAAGCGGAATTGGCGGCGGTGTGGCGTCAACAGTACTGTTAATTGATTTGCTCAACCACTTACTGACTGCAGGCACCGTGCCCAAGCCACTGAAAGGCCACAGTGAGGATGATAGAGCCTCTGTCCCTGCCCTCCAGGAAGCCACAGATACAGTCAGGGAGGAAAAACAAGAAATTCCAACAACAACAAGAAACAAGAAACTCCACCRCAAGACGGAGAGCCAGAGCATCCAGAGAACCCCAGAGGCCAGGGGGCAGGTTTCTCAGGAGAGAAATTTCTATGTCCATGAGCACTGTTTCAGCCGGGCAGTGTGGCTTCTGGTCTAGTGGATCAGAAGTCCTCAACTCTAGACGCTCATGGCTACCTTGAGCACATCTCGGCAGGAGACTTCTCAGGCTTGTTAAGCTTTGAATATCTCACCCCCAAAATGGTTCCACCTCCTGGACATCTCAAATTGGGGCACACAGCGGCCATCCTCCAGGCTGCCAGAAACAAGAAGACTGGCCTGCTCCTTTCCCACTAAAACAAACCCGATGTCAGGATTTTCTAAGACTTCCCCAAGGAGGGGGACATCCATCTACAGGTGCTGCTCAAGTGCCGATTCCTCCTACCACTGGCTGACTTATTGGCAAATGATACCTGGTTCCGACTGTTTCCCTTGAAGCTTCTCTACTGAGTCTTCCTGCAGAACCAGGGAACCCCTTGGTAAATCATCTCCCTGCCCTACCTCTTCTAATACAATGGAAGATTTCAAGGTCATTTTAAGGAATCCTCATTAGACATCTGCTCTTTTAGCAACTTCCCAACAGAAAAGAAAGAAAATACCAACATGAGAGCTGGACTTACTTTCTTTATATTTTAAAAATATTCTCTAGCATTTAGAAACGTAGGCGAGTGAACTGCACTTGTCTCTCCGGGGAAGCCTCACTCCACAGAGACTGATGACAACAGTGGCCTGGTATTAGATCAAGAAGGGAGCCACAGAAGCACCAAGGGCCCTAAGGAAGTGTGAACTCATTGGAGATGACACCAGAGCAACCAGACAGAGCCGGGCTACATTCTAGAACCATCCTTTGCCTGCTGTGACTTTGGGAAGTTCTTCTTTCTGAAAATAAACATAAACAAAAGCACAATAGCTGTGGGGTTACCATGGGCTAAAGAATCAAGCTAGGCCATCTGAATGCTCAATAAGTGCTCAATAAATGAGGGGCATTTGTGACATTAATGACAGGGGTCAAAGAGGAGGGTGCTCGGTAAATGTTTGTGGAGTAAAAATGGACAGCACATTTTCGCCAGGGTGGACATCTTCCCCACCTACTGGTGGAGGTCACTGCCCGCCCAGGGCCACGGCACACACTGGCAGGCATCCCTTTGAAACAGGCTGAGTTGGCCTGGCTGAGATGTTAATGTTGCTAAGATCATCTGTCCACCCTCTTAAAATGGCTGCTTCTTATTTTACAGCAATCAGAAGAATTATAGTGTTTGAAGAATGTTTAAAATGTTTATACCCAAAGATAAGGAAACTTATAATAGCTAGCAATTCTTGAGCCCTTAGCTGTATGGGCGCCAGGTGTTGGCCCATTTATTAAACATAAATCCCCATGGCAATCCAATATGGTTGACGGTGTCTTCGTGTCTATTTAAATCAAGGAAAGGGAGACCTAGAGAGGTGGGGCAGCTCCCTTTCTGTCACGCAACTCTGAAGCGGTCCCGAGAAAGGATTCAAATTTCAATGAAGTTTTAGAGTCTGGTCACTTTGGACTACTGGACACCCACTACCCAAAGGGACAAAGGTCATCATGTTCCTGTTTTAGGGGATCTGAGGTAAACAGAAAGCTCTAAGGAGCACTGAGAGGAAGGAGCCAGGAAGTGCTTGGGGTTACCTGAGTCTGTCAGCACATGGTTTGGGGAGGAAAAATATCCCTCCAATCCTAATCTTCATTTAGTGTCCTGCTGGACAGGATGTGTTAATATGAGAACTGAGAAAAGAGGCTTTTAATAAAAGAGATTTATCTCTGTCCCCACCCCCATTTTTAAGTGACTGCCCTCCCCCGCCCCCACTCATTCTTTTTCAACTTATTTCTTTCAATTGCTGAGCCTATAAAGTGGAATGTTTCCTACATACCCAGGCAAAAACCCTCAAGGAACTGGGGAGTTTATCTATTTTATTCCTTGGAAAGAATACAGAAAATACAGAAACAGAAGCTCCTCCTTACTCTTGGGGCACATTCCAAGACCCCMGTGAGGTGCTCCAAATTACAGATAGTACTGAATCTTCTATTTAGTATGTTTTTTTTTTTTTCTACACATCAGGTCCCTATGATAATGAGGCACATTAAGAAATTAACCACAAACTAAAACCAAAACATATCAATTATAACAATATGACCTAATAAAAGATCATTAAAACTTTTAATTTTTTTTTTTTGTTTATTTCTGGACTTTTCCATTTAATGTTTTTGGACCTTGGTTGTCCACAGGTTATTGAAACCACWAATAACTAAAACTGTGGAACCCTGGATAAAAAGGGACTGCTGAATAGTGTAACCCAGAGAGATAAAACTCGATGAGATTGGGGGGCTGGGAGGGGGCAGCATAACAGACAGGTAGGGGAAAACAAGGAAAATGGAAAACAGAAGGAATTGTCTCATTTTTTTTTTTTCCATTACAAGCCCTCCATGGCACGTCTACTAATTTGAATAGAGATCTGGCATGTAGTTAACTCACCTGGCCCCTTCTGAAGCACTTCTAGCTCATTTCTCTTCCAGTGGCTTTGCCCAAATCCCTCTCCAAAGGCCCTTAAAGCCAAGAAGGTGTTTCTTCAATAAAACAAGAAAAGGCTTGGTGTGTCCAACCAGGGAGCACAGATCTCTACAGAAGCACTCTGTGGTAAGATGCAGACCATTCTAGAAATGCTGTGGAGGGCTCCTGAACACACATGCCCTACCAGGGGTAGAATACAGGATGGACCAGACACGAGAAGGCCCCCATCCATGCAAAGGCCTTGCTCAGTCACGGATGGCCATGTTAGCACACAGGAGTTTTCTCTGGGAGGGGACAAGAGCCTCCTTCATAGTGCTGTTTGGCAGTAAAGCGGGACTATACCTGAAACAACTGTCAAAGGAAGGGTACAAAATACATATCTAGAAATTTAAGATACCCTTAAAATATCTTCTATTTAGTCTTTAATTCTTTGAACCTCATTTTTTAAAATTCTTTGAACCTGCCTCCTGAGCAAGAGCACTTGATCTCCTGAGACCAATAGCACCCACTAGCTCAGCTAATCCAGGCTCTCCTGGGGCACCTGAGTGGACGTGGCCATAAGCATACACGTTCATTGATCACATGCCATAGCCTGATTCCTTCCTGCTAAAGAGCAAACACTCCAAAATGTATTCAACACACTCACAAATAAACTATTCAGAACAGATTTTTAGGACACACACACATCTGCTTGCCTAGAATGCAGCCTCCATCCATTCTACCCCCACCAAAAAAGGCTATGTGATTGGTCTGGGAAATCCTCAGGAGGCCACCTTTGTGTTCAGCCTCTGGGCAGGTCACACACTCAGATCTTCCTAGTGGAYCAGTGTTCATCTCATCTCCAGAGTCCGAAACTGTCCCGCAGGGGACGTCCCCCTTGCTATTCTCCTCTCTCTTCAGGACTRCAGTTTGTTTGTGCCTGGACTGCTCAAAGTGCTCCACTCTCCTTCCTAGGGTTGGGGTGAGAGTTTGTTCCCCAGGGCCAGAAAACCAGTGGCCTGGATAGGGAAAGGGACAGGGGTCAAGAACTCAGCCTGGGTCAGATCTTCCTGGAGGCTAAGCCACAGCAACAAATCATGCCTTGAGGTATTGCTGACACATATAAGTCAGACAGATGCCTGTCTCTCTCCGCCAGGTGCTGAGGAGAATGAAACACATCTGGAATACAGCCAGTCAGGCCGCCACCTTCTCCTACTAGACCTGAAGCCCATGGCCCTACCCTGGGRTGGGGCAGCAAAGAGAACAAACCTGTGCCCAGAATTCTAGACCATGGGACTCAAGTCACCAAAGCAAGTATTACACTRTCCAGAGAATCATTTCTAGATCATGAACCTCTCCATAAGTGACAACTATGGGCCGAACAAACCCCCAACTTCTTGAATACCCTGAAGCTACAGTCTAAGGCTCCCAGGGTAAGATTCTGTGGTCTGCTGTAATCCTTCCATCTTGCTGCTGGAAAAAATTGAGGATTCCGAAGAGGAAACCAGAAGCCCTTTCGGGGGAAGCCTTGGCTCAGGGGCTCTGGTTTTCCAATGCCCTTTCTCCCCAGCCATCTGCACCATCTGCCTTCAGGCTTTSGATACAGGCTCCTAACCCTTACTTTCACAGAAACTTCTGCTCCTTCTCAAACTAAGGATGAGATACTCTGAACAAGTTATTAATCCTATGTGTCTCAGCTTCCACATCTGTCCTGCAAGTGTGATAACTTTAGGGTAACACCAGACCAGAAAGCAAAATTCAATATAATGTGATTAGCCATCTCACATGCATGAAATTCTATCTGACTCCTTAACTCCCCATTATTTAATTAACCTCACAACACGCCCTTGCWTTTTTGCAAGAATTGGGGGGTAGGGGCTGGGGATGTGGCTCAAGTGGTAGCGCRCTTGCTTAGCATGCATGAGGCACTGGGTTCGATTCTCAGCACTACATAAAAATAAAATCAAAATATTGTGTCCACCTAAAACTAAAAAATAAATATTTTTWAAAAAGAGTTTGGTAGTGCCTTTAAATACATGCATCGCAGGCTGACACAGCGCTGGGCATCGTGTATGACAGTAGTGCAACAAAAAGTCCTGTTGTTAATCATCACCACCCTCGTTCACCCCCTCCGTTCACCCCCTCCGTCGGATACCCGCCCCTCCCCCAGCCCGCCCGCACAGGGGTCTCGGTGCGCTCACAGGCGCTCACCTGGTCGGCACCCGGGAGCCGCTGAGGGATCACCTGGAAGAAGAYGAAGAGCGGCAGCGCGGCAAGAGCGGAGTAGCCCCAGATGAACGCCAGCATCGCAGCCTGTGCCCGCCGCCCCGGGCCGCGCATTCCGCGCTGCAGGCGCACGATACACACCATGCGCTCCAGGCTGACTGCGGCCAGCGTGAGAATGGTGACACTGCCGCTCAGGGTCATCATGTAGAAGAGCAGATGGCAAGCGACGGGGCCCAGCACCCAAGCCTCTGTCCAGCGCACGACTAGCACTAGGGGGATGGAGCTGGTGAAGAGCAGGTCCGCGCAGAAGAGGTTCAGCACCAGGTTGGTGGTGGCCCCTCGGCGCCGTCGGCGCGCAACCAGCACCAGAGCGTACACGTTGCCCAGCAGAGACACCCCAAAGATGAGCGCCAGCACGATCGTCTCCACGGTGCTCAGCACCAGCCGGTGGTCTCTCTTGACATCAGAGAAGAAAGGGAAGCGGGTGCGATTGGCTTGCTCTAGGCTGCGCAGAGGACCGGTGACTGTCGTCTGCGCGAACTCAGGGGACATGCCGCCRGGCACCCGACCTCCAGCAGCGGTCTGCAGGCGAGCGCGCTCATCTGGGAGGTGACTGAGTGCCAAGGCGGGGAAAGAGAGAGGGAGGTGGTTGCGACACCCGTCCTCTGGACCCCTCCCGCCAGAGGAGAGCGAGCGTTGGGCGTAGGGAACTGCGTCCCGGACGCACGGGAACGAGGAAGTGCCCGGCAACACCAGCTGGGCTGGGAGGCGGCTGCGGAGGCGGAGGCCTCCAGCTCTGAGGCTGTTTGAAAGCTCCCAAAAGGCCAGAAATCCCCCAGCCCTCTCAAAAACCACAGCTTCCTTTAACCTACAGCGATACCGGGTGTGAAGCCAACTATCCTCCCATTTAGCTAAAATTGATTTAAGAATGTCAGAGCTGAACTTTGAATATTGTTTTGGACTGTGTCTTTTAGACTTCACTTAAGAAGCCCCGCTGTTGGAGGTATATCCAAAAACCACTTGTAATGACCCCAAATTTATTGGTAGGGGAGTTGTTTTATCATCACTTAATAATGTGTGACTTCAGATGGATTAATCTCTCTGTACTCCCGTTTTGCATGTGTAAAATGGGAATGATAATACTACCATTAAGTTATTGTAAGGCTGTCATAAAGAATTTAGCACAAAACTCATGCACAGTAATCACTGATTATATGTTAGTAGTATTAGTTACTATAATTAAAATGCATGTAAAATTTGCATTCTGAATAATGATATAAAACATTTTCTTGTAGAAAGGGTGGCCCTTCAAATCTTTGAATAAACTTGACCGGGGAAGATATATTCCAAGACTGTCAGGTGCACAAGTAAGCTGTGAAAGTTCCTCAGACACCTAGTATGTGGAGCAGTGGGCAATCCAGTTCTGTTACAGTTGAGGGAACTGAGGCCCAGCAAGAGTGACTTGTCTAAAGTGGCCCCTGGTCACCTGCCAGGTCACCTGCTCCTGCCCCCACCCCCACCATATCATTGCTGTCTAGTAGATGAGCTGGTTAGAGAATATAAAGTGTGCTGTGGCCCAAGACCAGTGAATACTTCCCCTCCTAGAACACTCTCAGCACCTATGACCTCACCCCTCTCCCCTTTGCCATATTCCCTGCCCTCTCCCAGTCGCCATGCCTTGCAGTTATCTCTGTGTGGGGCTGGATGTGTTAGTCTAAAGTGCTGACTGGGGAAGAGGTGTTATTTGTGTGTCTGCGTATCACTGTCATGTAGGTCTGAGTTGACAATGTGACTTCTAACCTTAGGAGCAGATTGTATGTCAGTGGGATGTGCTCAGCTTGAACCTTGACTAGGTCCATGTTGAAAAGCAGATTGAAATAAAGGAAACTCAGGACTTTGGCAACTGTCTGATTGAGGTCAAGGGATATTAGTTTTTGTGTGAGGGAAAGATGAACTGGGCAGTGAGAGAGACAGAGATAGAGAGCAATAGACAGCTATTGATTGATTGTATTATCACAGGTTGATTGACATAGAAACAGAAAGAAGTTTCCCTAGAATAGATAGCCAGGATGAGGTGTCTGATAGAAAGCCTTCTCTATCATTACACTAGTCAGTATCCTCATGACGTGGTGGTTGCCTCCCCTCCAAACAAGTAATAACAAAGAAAGAGCCAGACAGAAGCTGCATCCTTTTTATGACCTAGTCTTTGAAGTCACATGACATCACTTCTGCTCCTAACATTCTGTTCACTAGCAGAACCCCAGTAAGTCTCTCCACAGGCAAAAGGAGGAAAATTAGACTCTATTCCCCGCCAACCCCAGGACAGATTTTTTTTTTTAATTTCATGTAGTTCATTTGAAAGTCCATTCTGTTAATTAGTGTGATAATTAAGAACCAATTATATTATATATATTTCATGCAATGAAAGTTTTAGCCATTTTCTTTCTCAAATTAGGTGCCATGTTTTGAAGAGGGGAATATCAAAAATATTTTTGCAGCCATATTTTGTAACCACCATCATACCTTTTGGGATTTTAGTAAACATTGAATGAGTTAATACAAGTGAGTCCTTAAAATCGTGTCTGGAATATTTACCACCTAAATGATTGACTGCCATTAGTATTATTACTAATGTCACTATTGTTACTGATTTATCTTCCCTACCCATCCTGACAGGTCGCCTGCTCCTCACTGTTCCTTCTATCCTAGAGTCACTTTAGAAGTGGGGACTGATCCTTGCTTGATTTATTGACTCTGAAGACCTCTTCAGGGCAGCAGGGGCCCCTTTAGGACTGGCTTCCCTCCTTTTTTCTGCCTGGGTGACAGTCACACTAGGTCTCCATCCACAGTGGTCAGGTCTGGCTGTTTGGTGTRAAGAAATATTGGTCCACACAGTTGCTAAAGAGCTGGCCCTTGCTCTCCTTTCTTCATCTCTTCAGGGCAATATTCTAGAAACAACGAGCTTGAGAGAATTCCCAGGCTGGTGAGGTTGCCTCAGTGGGAGATGCACAGGGGCCCTTGGCCAGGCAGTGCCAAACCCAGTGCCTCAGCTGCATCAACCCCGAGGAAGGGGCGCCTCCTCCTAACTGTTCTGCTCAGAGTGGGCACTTTTAAAAAACACTTACACAAAGTTTTGCGTGTGCTAGCTATGACTCCGCCTCCAGATCTTGTTTAAGGCAGGCACTGCATGAACCCTGCCATTGTGTGAATAAATCACACACAGGCAGCTGACCACTTACTTGTCCAGCATGGCTTTAGCCTTTTCATGTTCCCGCTTCTACCTGGACTACTGTTCTTTGGCTGTTAGGTATGATGTGGACAGGAGACAAGTCTCCAGCTCGAGGCACACCGAGCAGCCTTGCCCAAGCCTTACCATCTTGGGGAGCACATGCTATTTCCTTGGTCTGGGGCTCAGAGCCTTGTCTACCGGGGGACCTCTTGGGCTCCTTGAGGAAGGGACACAAGGATCCTTTCCCAGAGTTCAAGAAGGAGCCTACTTCATGCCACTCTGGCCTGGCTGAGGAGGCTACTCCTCTATGAAAACTCAGGGCAATGGGGTCCAGGAGTCTTGAGGAGATACGGAAACAGAAGCAGGAGGGGACTTAAAATCTTTACAGAGATACGAGTATCCTTGGCATTCTGCTGGGTAATAGATCCTGTTTAGTTTTGAATATGAAAAGGAACTGAAACGCTGGCCTTCCCTTTCGCTCACAAACCAGACTGTCCATATTTACACTTGGCGGGTCCTCGTCTCTGTTTCTATGGTTTTATCTAAGAGTGGAAGAGGCAAAGGAGCAYAGTAATAGGAATTAATGACCATGAGTGATAAATACGACTTTCACAATGAAGGCTCAGCCCTCCGCTGTCTAGTCTCGGAGGAACACGTGAGGTCGGTCTACCCTCGTGACAGTGTTTAGCTCTGGGGATGAAGAAGGATTGCAGATGTGAAAACTGGAACCACGTCACAAAGCTGAGMCTGACCTGGCAGGTTAAGGGGTTTACAGAGGCGGTGTGGAAACCTCTATGGGAAAGATGATAACAAATCTAGCTTTTGCTTCTAGATGTGAAACCACAACACAGTAAGCAGTAAGAGATAAAGTCATGTCTCTAGAGTATAGGGTTTCTCAACATAGTGAGTTAAACAGTTTTTTTTTTTGTTTTTGTTTTTTTAAATAAGAAACAGGTTCTCACTATGTTACCCAGACTGGCCTTGGATTCGAGATCTTCCTTGCTTCCGTCTCCCAAGTAGTTGGGACTATATGCAAGCATCACCATGTCCAGCTCTGGACAACTGTTTGTCTGGGGGTGCTTTCCTGTGCTCTGCAGGGTATTCAGCAGCATCCACTGGATACCTGTAACAATCCCCCAGAGTGAAACCAAAAGTGCCTCCCGGTATTATAAAATATCACCCAGTGAACCTCAAAGTTGAGAAGATGAACATTTAACTTTTAAAGTGGTGAACCTATACTATACCTACCTATTGGGAGATAACCAGGTAACTGGGGGTGCTGCCCTGAGAGGGAACCCTGTTTTGTTCCTGTGAGAGTGAGTTGTTGTAAAAAGAGCAAGCCTGGCCCTGAATGCCTCTGGCCTCCCATCCCACTACCTGATCTCTTCCACACTCTTCTGCCATTGTGATCCCATCTTCCATGAGGCCCTCACCAGAGGCTGACCAGATGGGACCACCTGATGTTGGACTTTCAGTCTCCAAAACTGAGCTTAAAAGCTCTTTTCTTTATAAAGTACTCTCGTGTTGAGGCACTCATTAAAATTGACTGTCCTGGAAATATGAGGGGTGGTGGTGGTGGTGGTAGGTTTTAACTCAGAAAGGAAAGTGGTGTCAGCATGGTCTTCCACTGAAGTGGCAGTGTTTCTCTGTAGGCTCCTCTTGGCCAGGAGTCACAGTGGCTGGCCTAGTCAGGAAAGCRGATCACTCAACACGCACCGCCTGAGCACGTACTGCATGCCACCAGGCACCGGGCCCAGCCCTAGCAATGTGAAGATAGTAGGTAAGTGACGCTAGCACAAGCCTCGCAATGCCTTCTGCAGCCCAAGATGTGGCGTCACTGAAATTCTGCAAGTCCCAAGGAGACCACTGGCCAAGGTAGTGCACAGTATTACGCCATTTCTTGGGGGTTTTTTTCCCCCTTGCCTTTTTTTTATCTATTCTGTTTCTGATTACAAAATGTAAGAAGTAACTCAGAAAAAAAATAAATTTACCCATCATTCTTCCATGTAGAAATAACCTTGTGGGATTGTGTTGTATTAAACTTCCGGTGTTTTTTCTGTGTATCTGGGACTTATGGGCATTTTACAAAATGGGGGTCATGGTGCATACATTATTTTGTATTAGGCTGTTATGGTTTGAATATAACCTTTGCAAGTTTGTGTTTTAGATGAATTTTTGGTCCATTTCTCCAAATTTATATGTTGATGGTAGTAGGAGGTGTGGCCTTTGGGGAGGCCTAAAGTTGGACTTCCACAATGGCTGCTATGAATTCATAAAAAGAGGAAGAGACCCCCACAGTAGACACTTGTTTTATCTCGCCATG